ACAATGAATCGACTCGGAATGTCAAGTCCAAACCCCTTCCAATCACCACGACATAATGGAAGTGCCACTCCGGCTCATTCAAGTTCGCAGAGTGTCAGCGGATATAGCGTAGGAGGAAAGACTCCCAACCATGTTGGTAGGTCTTGTCCTTTGTTGATTCTTGATTACTATTTGCAGTCTATCTTATATCCATAATCAAAAGGTGAAAGTGTACGAGTCTTTTTTTCTGTGTCTGTTTTTAAATTCACTGCGGGAAGGGTATTTTTGCATAAGTTTACGCGGCTCGCTGGAAAGCTGAAGAGCTCTTGCTATTCCTCAGCTGGTCCAGTTGGAGCTTATCTAGTCAAATTACTTGGCTGGAAACTTCAGTATGATTGACAGAGAAAGTAGCCTTCAGATGATAAAATGCAGCTATAAGCCATTGACCTTTTTTATGGTAAGAGAACTCTTACAATTTCCTCCAAATATATAAATACTTTTCCGAATAAGTTACTACTTTTTGAAGCGTGAAATGTCGAAGATCTTATGGATATCAAACTATGCTGTCATTGAAATTGTGTCCTTCGCAACAAAAACGTTGAAAATTTCGTATCTCCACAGCTCACGGTTTCTTGATGTATATCAGAATATCGTACAGAGAAAGCTTTAGGCTTATCTAGTTCATAGTTATGCTATGAAAAGATGACCTCGTTTAATACCATCTTGTTTTTTTAAAAGAAAATTCCAAAGGTGACTTTTCTCTGATATTAGCTAAGATAATCTTCTACATATTTTAAAGTCCTTTCATTTTCGTGCCTTGTAAAGAAATCTTATTTTGTTCAGCTGGATTTGGCGGTGGAATGGGGGGTGGACCAAACAAGATTCGAAGAGACAATGCGATAATTGGAAAAAGCGTACGCATCACTCAGGGTCCGCTCAAGGTAGCTTCTCCTCATACTCTTATGTGTTATCTGTTAGGTTTGCTAGCCAAATAGCTGCAATCAGCGTCATAGTCATTTCGCACTTCATATGAAATCTTCTTCCAGTCTAGGCCATTAAATAAGAGAATTTATTATGATGAACTGTAGGGGTACTTTGGCATCGTCAAAGATGCTACAGAGCAAACAGTCAGAGTGGAGCTGCACACCCAATGCAAGGCTAGTTTCTCGCAAATTTTAAACAACGACTTTTCAAAAAGCATCCAATATAGACAATTTCTGTGGATAGATCCCGAATAGCATGCGTTGGAGATGGCACACCGGGTGGATCAATCTCAAGCATGACTCAGTATGCCAAAACTCCCTACCAAGGAGACGATGGCCGCACACCGATGTATGCAGGAAGCAAGACACCCATGTATGGATCGGGCGCAAAGACACCGATGTACGGTGCGGATGAAGGTGGCAATATCATATATCTGAAATATATCTCCAATTTTAAATTTGCTTTTCAATAACGAGATCTTAAATTGCGTGTCTAGGTGGCAGAACTCCGTTTGGGTCTCACACGCCTGCATACGACAGCTCTCGAACACCAGCTTACGATGGTGGGCGTACACCTGCTTATGATTCTGGGCGAACTCCTGCATACGATGGAGGTCGCACCCCTGCTTATGATAGTGGACGCACGCCAATGTACGACAGTGGTCGAACACCGGCGTACGATTCTGGCAGAACGCCAGCATATGATGGTGGCAGAACACCGTCATATGAAAGTGGTAGAACTCCTGCGTACGACAGCGGGAGGACACCCGCCTACGAGGGAGGACGAACACCTTC